AAGCCTGGTGAAGATCAGCTTGCCCTGCAGCTTGTGCGCGTCCACGTGGGTCTTGTACCAGTGCGCGATGTCGGCCTGGAGCCCCTTCATCTGGGACTCCCTGCTAGCCCCCCACTGCCCAAGCTGCAGTATCTCCACGAACACGTTTGCTATGAGATGGCACGCCACGCCGAGGTCCAGCGAGTGAAGAACGTCCACCATGATGCCTTCAAATCTGAATGACTTGATTTTGAAGAAGCTGCTGAGTCTCACATCGCCGCGCACGCATCTCAGGAGGTGGCTGTTGTGCGTGGCCATTGTGGCTCTCCAACCAGCGGCCATATCAGCGCGAGTGTAGCACATGCTGCCGTCGCCGAGGGTAGCGCCGCACAAGTAACAGCACTCTGCGTTGTTCCACCTGTTGAGATACAAGAAGTCAGCTTAGTATTCCCAATCGCCTCGCATTTGAATTGCGGCGAACGTTCGCCCACTGCACAGTTTTCTACCAGCTTCGGGGTGTGGCAAGCCATTGTGTTGAACATCTGGCATCACCCCAGTGAGCAACGCGTTGAAACTCCATGCAAGTCGGTCCACCAGCTGTTCAAACATGTCTACGTCGAGCTCAGATTTCTTGAACACAATAATGACGTCTCTCGTAGAAACCGTGCTGCCATGGCCCAGCAAACCGTTGAACTGCAGCGTGAACAGACCTTCTGATTTTGTCGTCGGGGCGCCATCCCCGTGGAAACCCAAAGGTATCGTGGTGGACGAGATGCGCGAAGCGTTGGACTTGTAGGTCACGTGGTCCCGAAGGCCATGCCAGAACTTGGCGGTCTCGCCGTCTTCGCCAGCGAGGCGCTGTGCGAACACCAGGGGCCCCTTCGCGTGCCATGCCTCCAGAGTGTCGATCGGGTCGACGAACGGGTGGAAAGTCACGTCGCCGGTGCTGCTCTTCAACTCAACCCAGCTTATCCTCGGAGCTCCAATTGGCGTGCCAATGGCACGGCATACTTCTCTGAACGCGTGCTTGGCCTGCAGGTTGGAGCGGCCAGCGTAGGCGCCGACATGCTGCGCTCCCTGAGCGGCTGCGGCCTTCGCGAACTGGATGACGTCGGGGCTGCTGAGGGTTCCCTTGGCCCATCTCCTCCGCAAGAGGTCGTTGAACGGCGTCTCTTCGATCTCGTCGTGTTCTGCGGTATCCATGCGGCGCTTGATGCCCCCGTGCACGGCCTGCGCAGCTCCGCTGGCCGCGGCGTCGCGCCGCTCGGGCGCGAGGCGGTGTCGAATTCCTCGAGGCGCCTCCGGACGGCGGGCCTCTGCCCGCTGCGGGCATGGCCGAGATTCCAATCTCTGGCGGAGGCCTGCGCCCTGTGGCGGCATGAAAACACACAAGATGAGTAGTGGCAGCTGCATCTAAACTAAAGGACGCACCAACGACGTTGGCGCCCGAGTTTGAGCCAAAACGGCTGCAGGAGGAAGGCGGAGGAGGGCAGGGCGAGGAGGGCCACGGGATCCGTCGGTGGAAGGAGGAATGCAGGAGGCCGCAGCACTTTGCTCCGCATTGGGCTCCAGGTCAACATGTATGTCCCAATCGGTGCTTTCACCGTGGGGGTCCACTTCCGCTATGAGTCTTAAAGGTTCTCTCGATATGGACATTGGCTCCCGCGGGAGATCCCTTCGGTGGAGCTCCCCATGGGGCACGCAGCGTGTGAGGGGCGTGCCGACATGTTGATGACGGTGATGCTGATGCTGATGCGGATGAGGTTGATTGTATTGCGCGTAAGATGTTGATGCTGTGGATGCTGATGATGTTGGCAATGATGTTTACGTTGGTGATGGTGTCGATGTTATTTGGTTATCTGTTGTCCTGGCACACCCAACATGTTGGACATCATGCTAGCTATGATGATGGCGGTGCTGACGCCGATGACAGTGCTGATGCGGTCTTGCCGTGGCGTTCCGATGAGGTGGTAATGGTGAGGGTGTCAATGCTGATGTCGATGATGAGCATGGTGATGTCAATGGTGTTGGTGGTGATGATGTTTTCTTGTTCTTTGGCATTCTCGAGCTGTATGACATCATGCTAGCGGCTGTCGCTGCCGCCAAACTTGCGATGCCCAGCGCCAAGTGCCCAGTGAGTGCCCTCTGGCGCAGCCGACGTCCACATCTTGCCCCAATGCCACGCACGTCGGGGGGCCAGCACTCCTCCGAGCTTCCAGTGAGCCTGAACGGCCAACCTGTGCGCTCGAGCTGCCCTCCAAAAGAAACAAAAAGCCAGGCAGCCATCTCATCAGACTTGCTTCACCTTCCTCTGCTGGCCCTCCTTTGCAAAAAACTTGTTGAACCACTCGACGTTCTCGTTCAGTGCATCGAAGGCTTCGTCGATCTTCACGCTCACCGCCAAGAGTTCTGCTTTCTCTCTATCCTCCAACACGCTGTCCTCGGCCAGCTTGAAGACCTCCGTGAGCTGCTTGACGTTCAGGCCGATCTCCTTGTTGAGCTCGCCGACAAACTTCCCGCCCTTGGTCGCCAGGAACATATGCTTTGCCTGGGTCAGCGCCTTCCCGACGTTCCACACGACCTTCCTCCCCTCGGTCTGCAGGGCCTTGAAGGTTGCGCTCTCCTCGGGCTTCGCTTCAGGCTTCTCCGCGGGCTCCTCCTTCACTTTCGCCAGCGGGGCGTCAGTGCCAGAAGCCGACGAGCCCGCGCCATTGCACGACTGCATGTCCCTGAGGGTGTCCACCGCCTCCTTCTGCGTCTCCACGGTGTCGAGGCTCTCCTCGGCGTTGACCTCCTGAATGTCTAGCTCCTCGTCGCCCTCTTCGTGGCTGTCCAGGACGATGCGGTACTCCCTGCTCCATTGCCCGTCCTTGCCTGTATCCTTGTCGGGGCGATGCATCTTCTCATCCTTGTCGAACAACTCGGCCTTCTCCTTGGCCTTCTGCTCGCCGAACTCTGCGATCAGCTTCGAAAGGCTCCACCACACAGTCGCGTTCTTGTTCTTCGTACTCAGGATGCTCGACTTGGTGGTCTTCGAAGTACCTCCCTTCGCGAGCTTATCCGCGAAGAAAGCCTGGAAGAACTCCCTGCGTTTGGCAACGGGCCACCCGTCGTACTTGCGCTTCTGCCCCTGCGACTCGAGAAAATACGTCATTGACGAGCGAGCCCGCTTCGCCTCGTCGGCGTCCCTCAGCAGTGCCTTCGCCTTCTCGAGCTCCTCTGGAGTGACCGTCGGCACCTCGAGGGTCCGCTTCTTGGGCGCCATGTCCCAAGCAGGAGCGTTGTCGGGACCGCTGCAACAGGGCGGCGAAACTCGCCGAGGCGACCTGGTCGTGAACCCAAATGGCGACAGCGTCCAACGATGTTGCGTGGCGCTGACTTCGCCGAGCCGCCCAAGGGCCGTGTCCGAGGGACCCCATGGGGGCCCGCTTGGGGGCCCGCTCGACCGAGGCCCAAATCCCTAAACCTTAGTGTGCAAAATTGACAGAAAAAAACAGACAAAAAACAGAGTGTTTTTTTTTCCGGCTTTGTGCCGGCTACCGTCCCCTGGGCTACCTAGACAACATAGAAACAGACAAAAAACAGTCTGTTTTTTTCCGTTTTTTTTTTTTTTTTGTTTTTTTGGCGGGGCGGCTTCCCGAGGGAGGCCAGCGGCGGCTAGGGGGCCCAAGGGGGGTCCCAAAGGGAGGCGCCTTGATGGGCGGGGCCCAAGGCGGGGAGCTCAGGGTCCAACAAGGCAGGAGCCACGAAAGCCAAGTGGGGCCCCATGCACGGGGACGGCGACGGTGACGATGGCGATGACATGACGACGGCAGCGGCGAGGGGGCCCAAGGCGGGGTCCCAAGGGAGGCGCCTTGACGGCGGGGCCCAAAGCGGGGCGCTCAGGGCCCAACAAGGCAGGAGCCCCGAAAGCCAGGTGGGGCCCCACGGGGACGGCGACGGTGACGATGGCGATGACGCTGATGGTGATGATGTCGATGACGGTGATGGTGAACGCCTAATCTGTCCCCAGGAAGCCCAAAGCAGGGTTAGGGTCTGCAGGCTTAGTAGGGCCTGTAGGGTTAGGGTCTGTAGGGTCAGAGTCTGTAGGGTTACGGTCTGTGGGTTTCGGATCCGAAGGATTAGAGTTTGTAGGGCTAGTGGGGTCTGTAAGATTAGGGTCTGTAGGTTTAGGGTGTGTAGGGTCAGAGTCTGTAGGGTTAGTAGGGCCTGTAGTTAGTAGGGCATATATGCCAGGGTCTGTAGGGTTATGGGTATGTAGGGTGAATAGGGTCTGTATGAGGTAGTGCCTGTAGGGTTAGGGTCTGTACCAGTTTAGGCTTGTAGGGTTGGAGTTTGTAGGATTAGTATGGCCTGTAGGGTTAGTGCATGTAAGGTTAGGGTCTGTAGGGTTAGGGTTTGCATGCTAGGCTCTGTAGGGTTAGGGTCTGTATGTATAGAGTCTGTAGGGTTGTAGTGTTAGTAGTGTCTGTAGGGTTAGGGCCTGTAGGCTTAATCGGGTCTGTAGAGTTGTGGTCATAGGGCCCGTAGGGCTCATAGGGCTCGTAGGGCTCGCAGGGTTCATGGGGCTCATGTGGGCTCATAGGATAGGCTCGTGGGGCTCATATGGGCTCATGGTTGCTATCGTGGGCCATCTTACCGTCTTGGGAGTCACCTTGCATAATATGTCAAATGAAGCCCCCCTGGAACGAGCAAGGGGATGATGCCTTTTTGGCTGGAGTCACTGATACTGCAATTACTGGAACAACGGTTCAGGGTCCGATTGCGGATGTTATCAAGCAACATGATGATGCCGTTTCGTTGGTGCCATTTCTGTTGCAGTTATTGGAACATCAGTTCAACGCCCGATGAATGATGCTTGATGATGGTTGGTGGTGTTTTCTTGTCTCACCACGGTCGCTGCCGAATGGAACTGTCCGTGCAGTGTCGGATCCCTGCCATAACTAAACTTGTGTTATCGTGCTCAGCGCCCCGTGCCCGTGGGCGCGCCGTGAAGCTTGACTTTAGCATTCGCCTAGGACCTATGACGATGCCAACGCTATCACGGGCGCAGTCTCCTTGGCTGGGGCCGCCTGGTCAATCGGCTCCGTGTCGACCGACGGGCAGGGACTCAGCTTGTTCCAGGTATTCTGGTCGACGATCTTCTCGTGCTCCTCGCGCACCGCCTGCTTGAATGCGAGCTTGAGGTAGGTCTTCTTGAAGTTGCCCGTCGAGCCGCCATTCGCCAGCGTGAGGGCATCCATCTTGTCCACGCGCGACTTGGGCACGCGTAGATTGTACCCGACCGAGCCGATATTTGGGATCAAGCCCGCGCCCGTCTCGCGGATGTCAGTCAGCACCTGATCTGAGTAGGTGTTCACGAATTCGAGAGTCGTTTTGAAATCGAGCTTCATCTTCTTGGAGATCGCCTGCACGAACTTACGCTTGTTGGTGCTGCGTCTCTTGGGCTTGCGGTCACTCGTAGGCGCCATCCCCGCGTGAATGTACAGCGCTCGAGGTACCCACGTGCCTCCAGCTGGACGGGGCCAACACAGCAGCGTGATGATGATGATGATGTTGATGATGATGATGATGATGTTGATGCTGATGATGATGGTGATGATGATGATGATGATGATGATGGTGATGAGGATGAGGATGAGGACGATGCTGATGATGATGCTGATGCTGATGATGGCGATGATGTTGGTATACGCTTGACTGATGGTGTGACATTGGTCTCTATAGTGATGCTGCTACATGGACTGATCATGTTGATGCGGTTAGTTGCAGTGATGGTTCTGACCATGGTGGCTGCGATGCTGATGAGGTTGACGATGATGGCATTGCGATGGTGATGGTAGCTATTGCGCTGGCGATTCCCGCGATGAGCGAAGGAGGACGAATGTTTTGGTTAGACGCAACTGCGCCCACGCCTACTGTGTGGGGCCCACGCTGGTTATTGCCTACTGTTTGGGGCCTACGCTGGTTATTGCCTACTGGTTGGGGCCCACGCTGGTTATTGCGTCGCACGCTTTGCGATTATCTCCTAACTAGGTCTTGGCAACCAGTGAGGGGAAACTTGATGATGATGATACGATGATATGGGTGCCCCTGGCTCTTGCGCACGGAACTCAGCCAGACTCATTTGACAACAGCGTTTTCTAAAGGCGAGGCGGCGCCTTCGCACCGCTCGTCATGCCTTCGGGCTTGGCTGGAAGACTTACCGCTGAGACTCTTCATGCAACTGCTGTGAGTCCTGAGCCTGCTCCGCTAACTCCTGCGACTCGGACACCGACTCTGCCTCCTGTGCGCTCGAACTGGCGGCGGCGAGAGCTTCATCAGGCTGAACGGGGTCCGACGCGGTGCGGCGCAGCTTCTTCTCGGGAGAGCGCAGCAGGTTGTCGATGACCGCCTTGAGCTCGTGGAACCGAACGGCCAGCGGTTCCAACGTGTCGCGGATGAAGTGCTCGAGCTGGAACGAATCCTCGGGGGCTGGCCCTGCAGGGACATGCATCTGGAAGAGGCTGTAGGCGCACGCCATGTCGTTTGACAGCGAGCCCACCTCCTCAAGCAAGGAAGACGTGTACTTAGTGTCCAATGCCTTGCTCTGCGCCCAAACGCCGAGGAGGTACATCATCTTCTTGCTCTCGTCATCCACCTTGACCGCGCGGAAGCTGTCCCACCTGCTGGTGTCGGCAAGTGGACCCCAACGGTCCTGTACGCCCACGGTCTCGACGCCCTCGCCGCCGTCAATCGGGAGAGCTGGAGCTTCGTGGCTTGAATCGCTCTGAACCGCAATCGGGCTGTCAACCTCTCTCTGCATCTGGGCGGAATCCTCCTGCTGCATTTGCCACTCGCGCTCGAGATCTGATGACATGGAAATGTCGTCGCGCTCTGCTCCTAAAAACTGTTTGGTCCAAAGCTGCTATGGTGGGATGACGTTGAAGATGGCGATGGCGTGGATGACGATACACATGCTGGATGCCGACGGGTGCGATGATGAGCATGACAATTGGGATTATGAAGATGATGACCATAACAATGGGTGGCGGTGGTGATGAACAGGGCGATGCTAAGGATTGCCAGGCTGAGAAGGATGGCGAGGTTGAGGAAGTGGACGAGGGGGATGAGGACGGAGCGTGAGGCTCTTGCTCGAAAGAGCTCGAAAAGGTGTCCCATGCTTCGACGCGCCAGCACAGAAGTGATTGTGCAATATAAAGCGCATTGCATGGGCCCCCAGCGTGTCGAAGCACACGCTCACAACTGTTGCCCACGCCGTGGGGCGCCTACTGCTTGGCCCGCTTCGCAGGACGCTGGTACTGGGTGCGAAGCTCATCTGTCCTGGCCCTGGCCGCACCCTGAGCGGCCTGCAGGACACGGTCATGCGCGGTGCTGGTTTTCTTGAGAGTGGCGATCGTCCTGCAGTAGACCTTGCTGTGCTCACGGTTCAAGAACTTCGACCATTCTTTTGGCGACATCTTCGCAGGGTCAACCTCCTCGGGAACGGATGCATTGACGCCTCCTGAGCTGACCTCCTCAGTTGACGGACCAGCTGCCTCCTGAGTTTCAGCAGCAGAGGCTGGCCGTTTCATGTTCATGTTAGCGCCCGCTGGCCTCTTCCGAACTGCTTTCAACTGTGACTGCAACTCCTTCCAAGCGCCGCTACTTGGCGGCGTGACTGGCTTCGCCAAGAGCTTCTGCAACTCAAGGTCGGACAGCGGCGACTCGGCTGGCAACGCCGACGACGGCGTGTCGCCCATAGTGTCACCGTCCCCCTTGATGGTGGTATCCATCTTCTCCTGGATGCCAGCCTCTGTGATGTCGTGCTTCTCATCTTTGCTGTCGTCTCTCTCCGCCTGGATGCCATTCTGCTTCGCGTCGGCCAGCTGGGTCGGCTCGGTCGGCGTCGCCTTGTCGATCAGTTCGGCGATCTTCGTGTCGTGCAGCTCGGTCTGCACCGTGATCGCCGTCTCGTCGAAGAGCTCTGCCTGCGCGGTCGGCGCCTGCGAGGAGCTCTTCTTCTCGCCGGTGAGCTCCACTCCGCCCGAGTCGCCACCAGTTGTTGGCTTCGACGTCGCTGGAGTAGTTGGCGTAGTCGGTGCCGTCGCCGATTGGAGAAGCAGCACCAAGTCAGGGTCGTGGCTGGAGAAGAGCTCGTCGTGGGTCCACTCGAAGGCCTCGTCGTTGTCGCTGCTGATCTCCTCCACGCTCACGTCGCACGCTGGGGCGATCGATGTCTGCGAGCGCGTGACCATGGGCGACTTCGGGGCGACCCTGATCTTGCCCATGGGTACGCTGAAGTATTCCTCGTACGCCTCAGGGATGGGTCTCTGCTTCAACTTCTGAGAGCTGAGCTGGGACACCAGGGCTCGCAGCCTGTACACGGACTTCTCGACCTCGCCAGTCTGGATTGTCATGCCGTTGTCGCGGAAGTATTTCTCGGCACCTTTCTGAAACGGATGTTGGTTCGCTTGGCAGCCCTCTGTGTGAGTCAACAGGCAATTTATAGCGTTGGCTAGGGGTTTCGCCGAGGACCAATTGGGCGACCTGCCGAATACGAGCTTATCGTAGAAAATGAAGCGGCCGTCTTTGAACTGCGAGGGGGGCACTCGACTCAGCACATCAGCCACGGCATCTGGTGTAAGATTCACCCCTTGCGTTGCGGGCATGTGTGCCCGCAACCTCGCAAGAATCTCGTGGGCCAAAATGGCTATGGGTGTGTTGGAAAATTTTGTGGCTGCTTCTGCGGTGACCAGACCCTATAACCCCATAAACCTAAACAGCACTGAAGCGAAGGTAAATGACGACGGCAGCGGCAAGGGGGCCCAAGGGGGGGTCCCAAAGGGAGGCGCCTTGACGGCGGGGCCCAAGGCGGGGCGCTCAGGGTCCAACAAGGTAGAAGCCCCGAAAGCCAAGTGGGGCCCCACGGGGACGGCGACGGTGAGAATGGCGATGATTCGACGACGCGGCGAGGGGGCCCAAGGGGGGGTCCCAAAGGGAGGCGCCTTGACGGCGGGGCCCAAGGCGGGGCGCTCAGGGCCCAACAAGGCAGGAGCCCCGAAAGCCAAGTGGGGCCCCACAAGGACGGCGACGGTGACGATGGCGATGACGGCGATGGTGGCGATGACGGTGATGGTGAATGCCGAATTCCCCCAGGAAGCCCAAAGCAGGGTTTTGGTCTGCAGCGTTTGTAGGGCCTGTACGGTTAGAGTATGCAGGATTTGGGTCTATAGGGTTGCGGTCTGTAGGGTTGGGGTCTGAAGGGCTAGAGTCTGTAGGGCTCGGGTCTGTAGGGTTAGTGGGGTCTGTAATGTTAGGGTTTATAGGGTCAGGGGCTGTTGGGTCAGAGTCTGTAGAGTTAAGAGGGCCTGTAGTTAGTAGGGTCTATAGGGTTAGGGCCTGTAAGATTAGGGCATGTAGGTTAGTAGGGTTTGTAAGGGGTAGGGTCTGTAGGGTTAGGGTCTGTACGGTTCGGGTCTGTAGGGTTGGAATGTGCAGGGTGAGTAGGGTCTGTAGGGTTCTGTAGGCTTAGGGTCTGTACGGTAGAGTTTGTATGGTTAGGGTATGTAGGGTTAGGGTATGCAGGGCTAGGGTTTGTACGCTAGGCTCTGTAGGGTCAGGATGTGTAGGGTCAGTGTCTGTAGGGTTATAGTCTGTAGGGTTCGGGTCTGTAGGGTTAGTCGTTAGATCAGGCCTGTAGGGTTAATAGGGGGTCATAGTGCTCGTAGGGCTCTCATACGGCTCATATGGGCTCATAGGGCTCATGGGGCTCACAGGGCTGTTATGGAGGCTATCTTGGGCCACCTTAGCCGTCTTGGGGGTCACCTTGTATATCATGTCAATTCAAACCTCCCTGGGACAGGAAAGCGAACGATGCCCTTTGGTTGGTGTCTCTCTCCTGTCTCTCCCTTGTTTCTCCTTCTTCTCCCTGCCGTCGCCAGGACCCACAAAAGTGGCGACAGTTCCGCTCAGTCGCCACTTGCGGGCACAGTGGCGGATTGCGGCAGATGGGGCGGAGCGGAGGGGGGGGGGAAGAGAGAAAGAGAGAGAAAGAAAGAAAGAGAAAGAGAGAGAGGGAGAGATGGATGGATGGATGGAGGGAGGATTATTTTTTTTTAGTTTTTGTTTTTCCGACGTCTGCGGCCTGCACGGGCCATTAACCAGGCCCTAGGATTTGATTGGAATCGCAAGCCGCGGGCGAACGAACCGTCCCGCAAGTCTAAAGACAAGGCACGCAGCATTTTCCAGGAATGACGCCTCGGGGCGTCATTTCTGATGAAGGCCCCCTGGGACAAACAGCGAAAATGACGCATACAGGGGTCAGGGGTGGCCCGGGAGGGTGGCCCGGGAGGGTGGCCCGGGAGGGTGGGCCCGGGAGGGTGGCCCGGGAGGGTTCCCGAGGGTGGGGCCCGGGAGAGTGGCCCGGGAGGGTGGCCTGGGAGGGTGGGCGGGAGGATGGGCCCGGGAGGGTCCCCGACGGGTGGGGCCC